AAAATTTGGAAATTTATAATTGAATTACAAATCTCCGTTCTTATATCGCATAAAATTATTCTCTCTTCTCCTTCTACAACTGTATAGTGCAGTTGTTATTGGAATCGTTCTGACCCGATACCGTACCACGTAATGAGGTAAGTGGATGGAAAAAAAAAACGCTACAAATGGAGAAATAAAATAGCGTTTTTGTTAAGTTGACCTTTTAGAAATCTTCTGTTAGGTCAAAATAAAAAGAGTTGTCCTTCTCGTCTGCGGGAGAGAAGGAGGGAGGAGAGGGGGTAGGGCACGTGCATTCGGTTTTCTGCTGTTGCTAAGAAGGCATAGACAAACGTATACGCAAATATACAAACAACAAATTATCGGGCCCTATATCACATATATTAATTACTGTTTCTTTTTTCCTGCTTCTGCTTCAACTTTCAGTGAAGGACAACTGGAACGGCAAAAAAGGAGACGTTATATCGATGATAAAAAGGAACAGAAAAATGACAATGGAATTTAGGAGCCAAAATACCGTTGAATTTCTTGCAAGAAATTTGTATAACCTTTTTCACGCCGCTGCATGTGTGTAGGTGCTCGTGCAGTGCCGGACACAACTGGGGACAAGGGTCGTGCCGGTCGCTGAATAGCAGGAAACTGTGTGTATGATTGTATGTGAGTATGTCTCTGTTCGTTTATGCTGAACAAAACGGAGACAGAGGGAACACCAAGGAGTTCATCAGAGCTGGTACCGTATTTATTTTAGGCTTACCTGTATGGGCTTAGGATGCCATTGAAATATAGCAGCTATTCTTCAAGAACTTTTCCCTTCATTTGTCGTCCCCCCGCCCTTACTCCTCCCATTCTTCGTACTTCAGCTATTTGTTCGTTGTTGTTGTTGTTGTTGTTGTTTCTTCTTCCACTCCTTCTCGCATCGGTGATTCATCGTTTCTGCACTTTGCGGGCTTGTCATTTAGTCTCAACGGCCAAAAAGACCAGTGCAAATTTAGAGGCCAGTCAGCGTATGCAGAAAACAAATTTTTAGAAATGGGGGAGCAAGCCAGCGAGTGCTTTTTTTGCACAAATGTGTACACAGACATCATCAAAATGATTATGCATTTGTTGGAACCACGCCAACGGAAGAAGGAGAAATTGAGGTCAAGGGAGGAACGTGTTGGGAGTCCCATGTCCCTGAGCGCCCTCTCTATGCTTCCCTCCCTCCCGCATCCCCCCTTCCTTCTCGGTCCCTTTCTGTCCCGGGTCTTCCTCTGCTTTCCCTCCTTTCTTGTCCTTGGCTTCCACCGTTGCTATACAGCTTCTTTCTCCCTCCTCTCTTCTTCAGCGAGTACGATGACGACGTCGACTTCTCTGTATATGCTTGCTTAACGGCCAAATGGGCCATGTGACAAAACAAAACCGCTAGGCACCGCCACTGTTTGTTTGTCCTTATCGAAAATCCGAAGAATTTTTTTCACTGCTACTTCTCAGCAGAAAAAAAAATGGGAGAGGAAAAAAAAGAAAGAGAAAACAAACCAGAAATAAAATTTAACAGACAGCGTGTATGAGGAGAAGGGGTAGGGAGGAAAAACTTCGCATCGACGTATCTAAAGGTGCAGAGACGTTGTTGAGGCGATGCTTAAAAAAAAGTAAAACAAAATAAGACAAAAACAAAAAACAAAAAAAAAAAAAACAACAACTTGCCTAAACACATTTCAGCAACAAATCAATTTGTGTCACCCATTTCTATCTTCTCTTTTCTGCTGCCATTCAGTCCAATATCAGAAAAAAATTACCCTCTCCTTGGTCTCTCCTTCCCCAAATTCTTTTCCCCGTATTCGAGTTCATCAAACTTTTCATCATCAGCAGCAGCAACAAAAAAAAGGAAATTTTCTTCTCAAATACACATAAGAAAGTAGTGGTAGGAAAACAACAACAACGACAACAAAGAATTTTTTTTCTGCTTCTTAATCAAATAAAACCAGTTAGTTTTTGTGTATGAACTTGGCATCTGAATATTTGGCAATCACATCCCTGATACCCTTGTACTCACCCGATGTTTGCAATGTTGCTTTACCCATCAAACAGTAACCATCAGGTACGGCCATTGCAGCTACCACTGCCCAGCGTTTACCGAAGAAAAACAAATGAAGAAGAAAAACACCTAACCTATACTCATTCTGTTTCACTGTTACCTCCCGTTTGCTTCTTCTTCTTCTTCTTCTTCTTCTTCTTCTTCTT